TGAGCGGTGGTGAAGCTATGGAATCATTTAGGCTTTAGGAAGTTTGTTGACATTCCTCTATCTATCTGAAACTCTTGTCTTTTCTAAGGATCTTGAAGAAGGTTGCGCACTTGTTGTCCGACCTTGAGATGAATCTGTTGAGCCACGATCTGATTGGTTAGCTTATGAACTTCTTGGGGTTTTTTTGGAGGAGGCATGTCTGTTAGCGCCGGGATCTTGTTTTAGTTTGCTTTTATGCCTTCGGGGGTTAAGAGGTTGCCCAAGAGTTTGTCGGTGAGGTCTCAAACATACATTTTAGAGGGTTTGATTTCAGATTATATTTTTTTAAAGATTGGAATGTTTTTTTTAGATCTTTAATGTGTTGTTTTGTTCAGCTTTTCACGAGATATCATCGATGTCGACTTCATTATTTTTTCCTTTCTAATTGACAAGGATTACATCCATTAAATGTTGGTATGTTGCCCTAGCATTTTTATGCTAAAAGGGCATTACATTATTAGCAAAAAAACTCATTTGATAGTGATAAAGGAGATCTTCTCAGTGTCAGCCGGGTGCATCTTGATCTGGTAATAGTTGAAGAAAGCGTCCAAGAAACTCATCACAAAGTGACCCATGGTTGCATCCACCGGGGCATCGATCCTCGACAGCGGATAATTGTCCTTTGGGCAGGCGTTATTTTAGTTTGTGAAGTCGATGCATATTCGTCATTTTTCGTTGGTCCTCTAGACCATGAAGACTTTCGAGACTCAGGTTGGGTACTACATCTCTCGGATGTACCATACTTCCTTCAGCTTCAACACCTCCTTCCTAATGGGCTTGGCCAGCGCAGTCGCTGGGTTCCTCATCTTTTGTTTGCTCGACTGGTCAGTAGCTCCTTGTGCCCTGCATCAAAATTATCACTTAGCAAAAGAGATTTATCGGGCTCATCTTTGACGACAAGAATTTCCAAGGTTGTGTATCTGGTTTCAAGACCCCTTCTGTCCAGTTCTGCAGTTCGAGCTCTTGTTCGACGCTTCCTACTGCTCTGAGATAGCAGACCCGAGACTGATGCAAGTCTCCTTTGATAGTGATCACCTCCCCATCTCTCAGAAGCTTAACCGCAAAGTTGTAGGTGGATACCACGACCATGAAATGATTCAGCAGGGGGCAGCTGAAGATAGCGTTGCAGGTTGGAGATGAGTCCACTATCAAAAAGTCCTCTGTCTCCTTGAACCGTTTCTCTCCTTCTCCTCAGGTGACTGCTAGTGGTATCTTGCCCAATGCCTCCTTTCTTTCAATTGTAAATTCAATTAGTGGGCCAGTCAAAGCTACCAGCTGGTCAGCCCTAAGGTTAAGTTTATCAGGCATTGACTTGAATAGTACGTTCATAGAGTTGTCGCCGTCGATAAGAATACTTCTGACTTGAAGTTTTTTATTATCCGCGTTACAACTATAGTATCGTTGTAGGGGTTTGACAGGTCGTCTGTCAATGTGATGGGAGGACAGCTCCCCTTCTTATGCATGGATGCGAGGTTGCACACTTCCTCGGTCCTAGATCCCTTCTGGGAGCTCTGTTTGGACGATTATGCCTCTCGGAGAATAGCTGGGACTATCCCGGCGATGTGGACAACATTCATCCGGGTAGAGCCTGATGGAGCTTATATGGTCGAAGCTTTGCCTTGTCCTTGACTAGGGTGTCCCTGGGCCACAAACTTTTAGTTTCCCCGCCTTTATCAATTCCTCAATGAGGCTCCGGAGGTGTATGCATTCCTCTGTGTTGTGGTCGTAATCCCGGTGATATTTACAATACTTTTTTATATCCTGAAGAAAACCTCTGGCTCTCATTAGTGTTGCTTTCTCAAAATACTCCTTTTCTTGGTTGGCATCCACAATTTTTGCGATCAATAAGAGTAACCCATAAGCCCTCATAATCACCATATTGTTGTTTGTAACATTGTGCCGGCCTCTCATAGTAACATATCGGCCGCGAATCATGGTTTCTCACCTGGTCACTGTACTGATTGTATCGACCAGATCTTCTATTATCACAGGAGGATTGGTCGTCTTCGAACCGACGTCGGACAAGCGGTCTGTGCTCTTCCCTTGGTTTCGGCCTGCAGCCAGGGGGTGCTCTCTCTGAGCCTGACACCCTTCTGTTTCTTGTTTGGGGGTGCTCTCCTTCGCGAGGATGTGTTTGTCGGCTCTTTCCAACAACTCAACAAAGTCTTGAGGTTATTTCAGGCTGAGGCCATAGGAAAACTTCTCGTTACTCAAGCCTTACTTTAAGACAACTTGGACCGCATCAACTCAGAGGACTTTTACCTCCAACTGTTCTCTCTGGAAGCGTGAAATGAATGTGCACATGCTCTCGTGCTGCCCTTGCTTGAATTGCCACAAGGACTGCACGTGCTTCGTGGCACTAGAAAACTGCGCAAAGAACAATCTCTTGAAATCAAGAAAGTTGTTGATGCTCCCAGCTGTAAGTGTTTGGAACCACTTCAGGGCAGACGAACTCAAATTGGTGAAAAAATGATGGCAACTTGAATGCGTTTGAGATCTTGAACAAGCACATGGCCAACTCGAATGAGGTGATGTGGTCGACAAGGTTGGACCGCCCTCTGTAAGTCTCCAAAGCTTGCAATTTGAACTTTTTCTGACACTCTGCTCTAGAGAAGTGGGGTAATAAAAAGGTTATCCAACTGACGTGGCGCCTCAGTGAGCCCTAACCACGCTCGAATCCCGTGTTGTCTTGGTAATGTGAGTTGCCTACCCCCTCTTGGGGGGGGGG